AATAAACTTAGATCATGATTCCTTTCATTGTTTGGATCAATTTTTTTTTTACTGTAAAGGAACCTCACCACTAACAACTCTCCTACAAGAAACTGTCTGGATTGGGGCAATTCAACTCACTAACGAATGAGTACCAATGTTGACTAACTTTTTGTGATTTTTTTAAGGGTCTGTTTGGGGCAGTTTATTTGGTGTGGCGGTGTTTTGAAAAAACATTCGACCTGTTTGGGTAAACTGTGTTTTGACAGCTTATGCATTTTGAAAGCGTTGAAAGCATCATTTTCACACCGCACCTAGATAGCTGCAGTGGCAACTTTCTGGCAGCAGTCTGACTTTTCAAAAACAATAAAAATTTGTAATAGTCACCCACCTAGCTTATCAACATATTATTTTTAATCAGCTTATTATAATATTATTCAATAAGCTGCAGTTGCCCCAAATAAACCCTAAGTTTCCATTAAACTTATTGCCAACTTATCCTCCAAAGGAAATTCATATTTATTGGCTCTAAGTCATTTTCTATATCCTTGACATAGTCATATATATTGAACAATCTTTCTCCAAGGCGTGTCATCTTATATTCTGCGATCAGTAGCCCCCCCCCCCCCAAAAATTTTGTGAGTTCTTATAGAGCTTTTGTGAGGTACTTATTTGTCTTTTCTAGCTCCTTATGAAATGACAACAACTCTTTCCTATAGTAGCCTGCATGATTAAATAATTCAACACCATGAAAAATTATATAAGTGGTTACAATATCCACCACTAATAGTCTATTTTTAGCAGTGGCCGCTGGTTCCTCCTCCAATACAGCATTTTGGAGGCAACAACTTTTACTTCCATGATGCTACCCTCACCTACATCGAGCTACTGCCCAACCCTTTCATCCATAAAAATGACAATCAAGAAGTATGAGTTTCTTTTATTAACATGAAAGAGAAAGTCGATATTACCTTCAAGACTGAGCTCGCCAGTAGTCAACAAACAACCAAATCCCTTCCACCAATTATGCAGCTCGATCTTTCATTTTCTCAACATCTTTTGCAATTGAATCTCTTAAAGCTAACAATCCCAATGCTCTTTATATATATTAGTGTGATATATGCGATTATATTATTAATTTTTCCTTAATTATAATTCTTACTTCGCATTAACGCCACAAACTTGATCATGAACAACAACTAAGCACAAACTTGACTTCGAAGCAAATAAGAATACATTTATTATATTTAAATATGAGATACCACGCAAGTATACGTCTCGTTATCAAGTAATATAAAATTTATTGATTAAGCATCGAATCTCGAACCCATAGCAAAAACTACAATATACAACTACAAAACTGAAGAAATTAGATAACACATTATACTTTGAAAAATATTCTTACTTAAACTCTAGATAATGTAATAGGAATAAAAGTTTGATTCTTTTTTTAATTTTTGATAATTGAAAATAAAGTAAGAACTAACTAACTTAACTAGATATTTGTAAGATAAATATAATATAAATAAAATATATTTTTCCTTATCATGAATCAGTAACTAGTATAGGAATTCTATTGTGGAAGTATTCAAATTGTATCGTAACAAATATGAGCAATAATATTATTTACTCTTACTAAAGATGCTATAAAAAGTTGGCTAATTTACAGTTTGAATAGCCTTGAAGACAAGTTCGTTAAGAAAGATACTAGACCTCACTCTATAGTTCCTTCTTCTCCCTTCACCTGGGAGCTAACATCTCGTATCAAAACCTAAAACTATAAATCAAATTGGGGGCTCTAGCCAGTAACTCTAAAGTCCTCTAATTCTACACCCTTCAAAGTTTATTTTCTTATTTATTTGCACTCAATCACATGAATTACATTCTCATCCATACAATCTCATGTGATTCTTACCATTTGTAGACCGAGATAATACCATCTCGAATTTTACATGTTCTCACGACAAATATTAACACATTAATTAGCTAAATCAAGAAGTGGATGAAGTACGAAGTTTAAAATTATCACTACTTCTTCCATCATTAAAAACTAATACTTCACACAACTTCCATCCAATACTTAATCACTTGTCATTTTGAGGAAAAACATAAAGAAAACTACTTAGAATTCATGAAGAAAACACAACCACACTTAAGTTTGAAAGTATAAATTATGCACACAAACAAGAAGTTTAAATTAAAATCAAATGTAGCTACAAAGATAAAAACTTATCTTAAATCCTCTCCACCAAAGTCTTGAAGTTCTTTTGAATCTCTTCCTTCACTTACAATACAAATTACAACTTAAAATAAAAAGAAAAGTGGCGGCAGCGGCGACGTGTGGGATTGGGTCTGGATGGATCCTCTCTTGATCTTCAATCCAAGTCTTCTTTTATAATTTTCCAAAAGGTGCCTTGGTGCCTCTTCAAAATGTGTCCACATTTAATGAATCTTCTAGAAGTTGCGTCCTTTCAAAAGCCAATTGAAATAATTTTTGTGTCCGTTAACTATTTCACAAGTTTTCACCAAGAGTTGTTTCAAACACCTTTTAAAAAATTTATCCAAATTCATTGAATCATCAAGTTACTACTTCTGGCGCCTAAGCGTAAGGTACTTGGCGCTTCGGCGCAGTTCTCTCTATTTCACTGGCGCGTATGTGTCAGTCCTGGGCGCTTGGGCGCCTCAGTTCAACACACCTTCATTTTTACTACAAATTTGATCATGCTTTACTCATTTCACCAATTTTCATCTGTTTGATTATACTTCAAAGAAAAACATATAAATACCTTTTATTAAAACACAATATCTCAAAAAAATAGGTATAAAAAAACTATATATTTTAGGTGTACCGACTATCATAAAATTGAAATCACGTCATTGATTAACAAAGTTCTCTTCAATAATGCATTAAAACATTAGATAAATCATTGATTAAAATGAAATAAAATTATAGAAAACTGATGCCTAATTACCATAACTTAGTTCTGAGGGAGTAATCATTGTTGGAACCCCTCCAGTCGTTCAGGAGTCAGAAACATGTCCTTCAACAATGACTTTAGGAGCAAAAACGACAGATTTCTTGGGAGAAGGATATGAGAATGGTAAGACAGACACTTCTCTTAGAGTCATTTCATTTAGATCAACTTCTAAAACCATAATCAGGGTTGTTGTGCTCCCCATAAAACTACATGACATTTCTTTCAGCTTGACAGGTTTTGAACTCCCATTTCCCCGGTTATTTATTTTTTTATTATAGGAACCTGTATAATGCTTTCCTCTTTTTAGCCTCCACTGCATACTTTATTTTCAGTCTTTCTTCGGAGACATTTATCTTTTCCTTGGAAAAATTTTCCACCGAGGTAGGATCAAATTAGTCATAAACTCTCAAATATAAAGGGAAGGAAAAAAAAAACAAAGCTTATGACTTACAAATCTCTATAAGGACTTGCATGACTACCAAATATCACATCGGAGTTAACACGACAAACATATTCTTATGAAAGCTGAATTTTCTTAAGCTGTTATTGACATTATATTTTTTTGTGATTAGGTACTGATGTATTGACAAATATAACATATGTTCAAATGGTAACTATTTCAAATGATTTAATAGTTATTATCTAATAACCTAATGAACCAATACCAATACATCTTCCATAACTGATAAGTCTTGAACTTTTCATGTTCCATTCCACCATCCCTTAAGGGTAGATATCTCCTAATGACTAAAACTAGTCACACCATCCATAAAAAAACATGCACTTTTGTTTAGGGTAACTCGATAAAGAGAAATCCTCTTATATCCCATTTTGGGTCACAATAAAAGAAAGTCACTTATGCTACCTAAAAAGTAAAGACCCTTGAATGAGAAACAATTCATAGTTATTTAGGAGTTTTCACAATTACTCCCTGCATGCATAGCTTTCAAGTCTCGAGAGAAAGAAAAGTACGAGCTCGCCTGTAAACTATTGTGACTACTCTTCAAGACATAATTCATGAAGCTTATTGGTGGTGGAAAACATCATTTCAATTAAATATGAGTAAGCCTTTCTCGAGACAAACTTGACAAGGTAAAAAACTTGGTACGATCCTCTCATCCCTATAATCATGCATGTATATATATCTAAAAAAACAAGTTAGTTTAAGCAATAAGAAAGCCCAAATACCAAATTAGCCTCGTGGACCTATTGAATCGAGCCCATTGGCCATGCACTAAATGATCTGGTTCTGACTAAGCCAATCAAACTCATTAGCCGAGTTGACAAACTATAGTGTTTCTTGCCGCCAAGAAGGATCTCACAAGTCACGAGCACCTCATGAACTTGTCAGCATTCATGCAAGTTTCTTCAATGGGCCTCGCTCAGCTTAAGCCTTCAGGCGAGTTCTTTCTGCCAAGCTCGCTCCCATTTCCCGAGTTCTTTATCTAAACTCAAATGTACTAGTTGAATCCTTCTACTAAGCTCGTTGATAGCTACTTAACTATATCATTGAGCTCGACAAACAATTCATTGAGGCAAAAGAAAGAGAATTACAATCCAACATCGCATATGAAACCATTTATTGACCACGCGACGACTACACTAAAAAAATTATCAACAATAAATCTACTCGAGCATTGAATTATAGAGCATATAACCTAGCGTTTTATTTAATTTCTTAGACCAGTGAAGGTGTTCATAAACTCTAGGATGCATAAATATAAAATAAAATGAGAAAGAAAGAGAGGAATTGACTCTAGCTCTCTCTCTCTCTAAAAATTTCCCATTTTTTCTTCTATCACTTTCGCAAGATCTCGCTCAAATCGAATGAGTTCATAGAATATACAACATTATACATCTTAAAGGGATTAAACAATAACAACTCATAAAAATATCAGTTTCACTATATGTTAGAAGTGAAATGCATATTAAATTTTACAATGTTATAAATATAACTCTAAATCCTAAATCCTAAATCCTAAAATTCTAAACCCTAAATACTGAAGGTATGTATGTAATTTTGTGTCACATACTTCCGTTTATTCACCCAGTCTTTGTAACCGGTCCTAGCCGTCGCGCCCGATGAGCGAAGCGAAGTATGGTATATTGAGTTTTCGCTGGCGGGCTCGGCATTGAGATCCAACTCCGGCGATCTGTCCTCCTCCAATCTCCTACGCCCATGCCCCTGTTCTCCCATTTCCGAACTGAAACCGGAGATCCGCTGCTCGGACGATCACAGTAGAAGATCGGTGCTGCAAAGACGGTGGTTTTTTTCCTGTATGAAATATGTTCGGGACTTGGAAATAGCATCGAGAAACTTATAGGCAAGAGAAAGAGGAGGAGGAAGGTGTGAAATCTTCTTCCAATTGTACGTTCAATGGCGTCCCGAATTTTCGAGTACTTCGTCGTTTGCGGTATTGGCCCGGAGATCCAAACCCTCGATGGAATCAAGGGTTTTCAAGGAACGGGGATCATGTACATGCCTTCTCTCCTCGATCAGTTTCCGCCGTCAAATCACTCCCTATACCCTCCCCCGCCTCCCCAGCTTCCAACGGTATGCTCTCCCTTGCTCTTGTAGTTTTCCCTTCGATTTCTCTACTTAATTATGGTTGTATATTGTGTGCTCCACTTTGTTGTCAGCGAGTTAGCTCTAAATTTCCTGCCAGAGTTTGGGAATCATATTGTTTTGATATTGTTCTCCCGGCGAGAGTAACTACTTTCATTCCGCGACATGCGTATGGGAGTTTGATTTATTGTAAATTTGCAATATTTGCTGAGACTCGACATACAATGAGCTCGAATTGTAGTCTATCCGTAGGCAACCTTCTTGCTCAGGTGTCTTAGGAGTAATCTAGGAGTTGCTGGAATTATTTGTAAGGGAGTTATGAGTGAGTTTTTGGGTCTTTTGTCCATCAGTTGTAATGCATTTATTCACGACTTTGCAATGTTCTACAGGTGCGTGTAAATATTTTGAAATCCCTTATATTCTTTATAATAACAAAGTATGTAATTGGTTGCAATGTTCTACAGCTGCGTGTAATTATATTTTTTATGATTCCTCTTTTATTTCCGTGCTGTATGAATACCACAGTTATTCCTGGAAATATCTCCAAACAGGATTCTTGAATCAATTTTTTTTTCTGGCTCATTTCATGATTTTTGTCACTCAAGCGAATTTTTATTATTCAGATAGTACAGCAAAGCAGAAATTTAACATGAACAATAAAGAAAACTGTGAAATGTGATTGTAGCCGAATGCTAACTGTATTTAAGAGTAATTTTGTGTCACACCCCAGGTTCGGAAGATAGTTCACCCCAACAATGTAGGTCATGATGAAAGAATGTAAACCTATTTTGTATTCTCGAAAGGTAGATATATTTATACAGGTGATAATGGAAATAAGCAAGGAAAGAAAATTTTATTTCATTTCATTAATAAAAGTTCCACAACTGATACAACTAAAGGAAAAAAAAAAGAAAAAGGATTGAAATTACAATAGACAAATAACTTCCTAGACCCTAAAGGAAATACAACAACTGAATGAAAATACCATAAGTAAATACAATGACCGAATGAAAATACTAAAAGTAAATATAAATTTGGAAAGTCATCTCCAATGTAGATGATCATCCGAGTGATTGAGTGCAATCAACTATATAAAATTAACGAGTGAGTTTGATCAAACTCATTAAATAACTACTATTTATTAAAACACAAATAATAAAAAGAATTGAGACATGCAATATGAACAATAAAAAATGCACGAAAAAAAAAAATATCAAATAATTATTATCATGAATGAAAGTGTGACATAAACTCATGTACCTTTAAGTAAATATTTATATTCTATAATGTCACGTGTGTTTATACATATATGAAAAATCTATATTTTAACACAACCTGATAATATATAAGTACATCATATGTTTATATATAATTATGGGATAATTACAAACATGACACCAAAATATTGTTATTTACAAAATTTAGCACCCAGGTGCTATTTTTAGACTACCAAACCAACGTATTTACGCCTCACGATCAAGCCACTTAAAATTTGATAAAAATGAAAAATAAGTGTCGGGGTTTTATCATGAAATTTGATATTTGAGAGAGAATATGAAAAAATGGATGTAAGAGGGTGCTAGTTCGTAAATAACAATGTTTTACGTGTTATGTATGTAAACACCCCTAATAGTTAATGCTTGCCCAAATAAAAAATTAGCATAGAAATTCAGGATGAATTAAACCAACCATTGGTCAGCATCAAAGCGTCACACCACAATCCGAAAGTCAAGTTGTTATAGTTTTGATTTATTCTAGTCACGTATTTTGACCAATGACTCGAAAAAATGATTATGAAAACAAATCACTTATATTTTAAAATTGGTCACAGTTTAACACAAGGAAATGGGTTCCATAGAATATTGTGGCCCACACTTGCGCCACAATAGAGAGATTCACATCTAACTGACACTCAATACAAAAGGGGGAGGGGGAATATTAAAATGAATTCAATACTAAAAACTAGCCTTTACTTACAGTAGGTTTTTATTTATTTATAATGATCATAACATTTCCTAAAAGGTAGTCGATAACCTTTAACTTCCGTGGATTGCTTCTCAAGTGTATCCACATAATGTGCTTGAGGATACTCACATGGTTTGTGAGAGGCGATAGCAATAAAATTATTGCGTGACAAAAATAGCCACTAATAATGACCCATGGATGAGGATGATGGATTGGGAGGATTGTAGAATCCTACATGTAAGCCATAGAGAGCTTGCATTTGCTACTTTGAAAACCAAAGCCAAGCAAATGGTCCATGCTTAATGCTAGTCCACTCGAGTGACCCACAAGAGCTAGGTCCAAAACAATAATGATGGAGCTGAACTAATAGAGACAAAGCAATGAATTGATGAGTGAAGGTAGCACAATCCATTCCTTATTGTTATACGATAAATACGATTGTACTAAAATAATTTAATATAAAATGGGGAAACTTTATCAAATAATTGAAGTGAAATAAACATTTTGAATGTCAAATTGCTCATTTCAATTCTTACATATAAAAAATAGATTTGTATAATTTATTTTTCAAATGAATTTCATTAGCTTTATTCAATGCTTCACTAAGCCTTGATAAAAAAGAGACACGCACATAGACACACACACATCATTTTTTTATTTTTCAAATGACTTTCATTAGCTTTATTCAATTCTTCACCAAGCCTTGATAAAACACACACACTCACAAACACACAGATTATCAACATTTCTTTGTCTTATGTACCTTATGAAATTGCATCTTTACACAAGCATTCTGATATGTTTGGCTATTGCAGTGTGTTCTACCGGCTGGAGTTGAATTCTATCCTTCAGGGGTTGATGCTAATGATACCTCCACATACCCACGCAGTTATCCAATTGTTCTAACCGGTAATGTTTAGATATAATGGAATTCCTAAACTTATATTTCTATGATCTTTAAGCTTCTAATTCAAGGATTCATCCCTGTTCATGCAAGCTTGACTAGTATTTCGTATGCGTGTTTACATTTTGTGCATTATATATATATATACATACATACATACATACTAGTAGGTAAGCTTCATTGTGTATAATTCATGCCTTGCCTGCGGTGAATTTGGTTTATCAAAAATCATATAACCGTATGGCTAGGGTCCTTTGAGTTGTTTAATAAAATAAAACAGAGAGTATTATATGGAGAGAGATAATATGATAAGTAGAAACATCTTTAATCTGCTAAGTGGGCAGATTTGTAATCTAAAATGGGGGGAGTGAGTCCCTTCAAGACTTTCAGAAGGAGAGAGAGGGTTGGGAGAATATTTGATTTCTTTGATAAACCATGATGAAACAATATAAAGGGAGGAGGGAGGATTAAGGTGAGGAATCTTGATTTTAAATTCAAATAATTCATTGTCAAAATGCAAACACTTAAATTTCTCTTTATAGAAAGTGTGTTACAAAATAAAATAAAATTATTTGTATTCAAATTTAAATCTTCCTAAAATTTCTATTTCTTGATTTGAAATGAAGGTAATCCTTAAATGTTAATTTATTAAAACTGTAATAAAATCTAAACTTGTAAGAAAATATAGAATAATCTTGAGTAAACTTGATTCATGCCTTGTACTGCATCAACTCCTCTTGGCCTACCAAAATTTTCTTGTAAAGTGTAATGCAAATGAGAAAAAAATGTTTCCGTGAAAGGGTTGGTGTAGCTTTGGCGGCAGCCAAGTTCAGTGAGAGTCATCTTAGACGGTTTGGTCACATTAAACGTCGACCATCTGATGATCCATTTAGGAGAAGAGATGCTTTAGATTCAACTTATTTTAAGAAGGACAGAGGTAGACCTAAAAAGACTTGGGCATATTGTATAAAAAAATTTTCTTAACTTATTAGAACTAAAATAAAATATGACACTCACTAAGATATAATGGAGAAAAAGGACTCATGTAGGCTTGTTGTTGTTGTTGTTGTAGAGAAGGGCCACAAAACTAGCTCATATTGTATCATAGGTATGTGTAATATAGAATTTTATGTCGTTGAATTCAAATACTATTATGCATTATACTTCCTTTTAAGAATGATACCGAAAAGAGGATTGTGGCAATTATTGCTGTGGCTCTTTGGTGAGAAAACTTTCAATAAATTTTGAAAAAAAATGTATATCTAGAGAAGAATCTTTCAAGAACATAAAAATCAAAATTTCGATTTATTTCTTGATCTCAACAATATTAATAGTGGAAGATAAATTAATCTCAATAATAGGCTCGGGGCACGATCTCAAATTTAGGCATTGGATTAATCTTATAGACCCGTGTGTTATGCTCATCAAGATGCTCGATCACCGATGATTGTTCATCATCATGAAAACCATCAGCATAATCAAAGCATGAACTTTAATTCCCATGTACCAACTCCACATAAGATTGGGATTTTGAGCTAGTGGAACTGATGCATAGGTTTAAATCTTTGGGTTTAATACATTTTTTTTTTCACCTTTGGGGCACGAAGAATTGGCGCGCAACATGATTTCTCATTAGATTGATATGGTATTGGGATGGACTATATGATTGAGCATGAAATCTATGAACAATCTGCATCATTATGATGACATCCATGCATACTAAAGTTTTAATTCCACGATTTGTAAAAAGCCAACTTTGATGATCAATTAGAATGTGGGATGATTGGGTATGACTATATGCATCAACCTTATTATTTCTAGGAAAATATTAATAACTCCTTTGATATTGACGATGATACGACGGAATATAGTTCAAATTAAACATAATAAAACTTACTATAGTATTTGCATGATGATGAAACGATCTTGAATCATATGCATGACACTTCATTGATTTTTGGTACTTGTGAGATTGATGAAGTTGATAGTTTTTGATGCCTTAACCAAATTAAGTTAGTAGACATTTATATTCATCAAGTGAACTTAGATTCATCAAGCGAATTTAGACTCACCCAATGTCACACTGAATTAGTCTGTGCATTCTTGAGAGGGGAAGCATTCGTTTAATGTTCCACTAATAATTTATGAAGTAATTCATTGGATTAGGCTACAAAATGGGTTGGGTGTTGACTTTTTTTCTTTTTTATTTGTGGAAATTGCTGGTAGTTTCGTACGGGTAAGGGGAAGGGAATGTTACAAGTGGTTAGAGTTTAATGCAAACAAACACCTTCATGAAAAGTGTTTTAGGCATGAGTGATGCATAAGAAATTTGATTTGATTCCAATTTGATGACTAGCCCTTGATAGTGATTGGCTTGCTTGGTTTACTTGTTTCGTCTCCTAACTTTTTTTTTAAGATAACTTGATTATTCTTTTTATTCAATATTCCATTAGAAAAGTTTTCTGGATCTCTAGGAATCATGTTTGGAGGAAACTTTTTGTGATTGCGATTTTTTGACAATTGTATTACCTATGTGTGTCCTTAAAGGTTATGCAATATAGTAAGAGAGAAATATCGAATAGTTTTAGATAATTTTGATACATATCTTGTACTTCAGATGCTCTCAAATCTTAATCCACTATGGCCCACAACTACTTATGGAAAACTAGGAGCAATTGTGCTCATCGCTTTGCTCCTTCAGTCTGCTAGAGTTGATTCTATTGTCTTATTTGATCGTAAGTTCCCTAATGATGCTTTCATGTATCTACACATTTATCCTATTCTTCTAACTAGTAATTGCTAGAATATCAATGAGGTTTAAACTTATATGTTGAATTCTATTTGGTTTCTTTGTACATTTGCATGATATTTCTAAATGCTTAGTGGTTGTTTGGGATCATTTTTGTTTTTTATTTTTTATTTTTTATGTTTATTTTCTTTTGTATATGTTTTGATTTGAAACGACACATGTTTGATATGCTATAACTTGTTTAATTGTTTTTAAAAATACTCAAAATAACTTTTATATGCTTCAAACGTTTTTAAAAATAATTTCATTTGTTTTTGAAATTAGAAAAAAAAATATCAAAAAAAAAACATGTTCTTAAAGTAAAACTAGAAGAAAAAAAAAAAGGTGGTCCCAAACAAAACCTTAACATGTGCATCATTTTGACCTTTAGGCATAACTACCATTCACAAGTGAGAAATACCATATACAATGAATTATCACTGGGGCCCTCTACTTCTTAACACTGTACTTTGTGCTGTTAGATTCAATGACTACACCATTTCGTATATTTACCAGGTTAATACGAATCTCATAGTGCCACCTAATGTGTTTAGAAAAAAGTCTTCAAGTTCAACACAATTTAAACTTTCTATGACCAAGTTGAAATGCATTGATTTTGGAAAGAATGGCCAAATTTGACCATTCATTTGCGTCATGAGAAGCTAACCACATTGATTCCTTCATGTTTTGAACTCTGGATCCGCTTTCTTTCTTGACCTGTTTTTGAACGACAAAAATTCTGTGAGTGCCAAAATAAAACATGACTTACAATGACATACATTGAATAATTAATAATCTTAGATTCATTTGCTATAAAAAAAAAATTCCTTTATTATGGCGGTTTGATTGTGGCATATTTGAATGAAATCTTTATTTCATTGATGATTTCATAATAAATTGTTTTGTTGTTGGCCATTAATGCAACATATAAAAAACATTTAAATGTCAAGTTGATTTGTATGGTTCAACCGTGATGTTTTCTGATGCTGTTCATTTTAAACTTATTCATATTTAAAGATGGGACAAATGATCCACTAATCTACTGTAATTCCGTAAGTGAATTTGGCACTCAAGTTTTACCAGTCCATTTTAGTTAGGAAAAATTATATACATTCCACAAAATTCCTACGTATTTATATATCTAACACTTAAATTTCAATTTTTACATACAAGCCACCTTACCAATGTAAATATGTATTTCACTTTTTAAAGGTTATGCTGGTATTTTTGATGTGATATGAAAGATTTGGGTGGTTTAAATATAAAAAATAATCTTTAGGTGTTAGATATATGTAAATAAATAGGAATTAGGTGGTATATATGTAATTGCCCCTTTTAGTTATTGTAACAAGAAAAGGTTTGCACACATCTTGTTTAATTGTAGTGAACAAAAGGGTCTTCTTGTCCTTTTTGGGTTTTAAGGACTTGAAAATATGTTTCCTCCATAAATTCTGCTCTCCTACTTTGAGCTTCTCAACCTATGCTGCAATATCTCACCTCACATAGTGTAGAGTTTAACCTGACTTAAATACATTTTGTGACAAACAAATTGACGCGAACGTAAGGGGCGCGAGATCCTTTTTTGCGTCTCCAGTCGCCTGAACCGAACCGGTCTAGATCCGAGAAAGCTGGCCGACTCTTCCAACAGGGTTTGGCGTCTCTTTTCAATAAAGGCCACTCCGTAGTTTTCTAGGGCTTATATATTTGATTTTCGTCGCTAGGTTTTTCAATTTTTTTTTGTGTTTCTATTACTTGCCAGGATTGCTGTTGGCGCCTTCTATGTTCTCTTCTAGTGTTGTATCCAATGGCGAGTGATGCTCTAGTTGTCTCTTGTTCCGAGATGGTGATTATCCTCGACCTAATTTTTCTCGTGACCTTGCCCACATTGTCGCCATCTTCCCTCTCTTTTATTGTAATGCCCGGTCCCAATGGTTCGTCAGATGGAACGGAGCATTTCATTTACAGGAATCAGAAACAAAGTGAAGGAGTCTACATATGATTTAAATATATGCAAAGGGAGGAAGATGGAGGAAATAGACATAGACCGAGGCAAGAACCGAGAGAAATTGAGAGAGTGAAATAAAGAGGAAAGAAGAAGCGGAAGGAACTCACACGTGTCTTTGTCAGGAAGAGAACGATTCCTATTGGAAGGATTGGAAGCCATGACGTGAAGCGCCAACATCACTTTCGAGCACTGCGTGCATTCTGTGTGAAGTT